GAAGAGGGAGCAGTTAAATGTTTTCCCTACTTACCCTTTAGGCCAGTGTGTACATTGTCTCATTACCACTTTTTCTTGATCGCACAGAGTACCGAGACCTCCTCTCCGTGGCAACTCATGAGTTGGGTCACAGTATGGGATTGGGTCACTCCTCTGTTCACACCTCTGTTATGTTTCCTTACTATCTGAGTAAGTGGAAACGTGTAGAACTCGATCAGGACGACATTAATGGCATGCAAAAGATTTACGGTGAGTCCTACCGCCATGACTGTCTGTGATAGCTTAGAAAGTTATTTGTAAGTTGTTGTAATTGTATGGTCATTTTTAGGCGCACCAAAACCGGGCAAAGTACTTCCTGAAATTCCAGATCTTCCAGATATTCCGTCAATTCGTAAGTTTAAAATTAGTACTCCTATTTTGATGAAACTGTCTTCCCATACTAGTTGCACAGCTTTGGAAGGCTGTACTGCAGTAGGGCCAAATGACCACCTCAATGGTAGGCCCATAGCGAGACGTTTTTCTCACACGGACTGGTTAAAGATCAACTTTTTAAGAGGAACAAGTTAATGTCGGTAGTCTTTAATGCGACCGATAGCAAAACAACTTGTTTACGCCGACATATGTTGGAAAGAGGAGGTGGTAGCGAAAGTCATAAAGATGGACAAATGGGTGTCACTCCCATTGTGTGTGCAAAGGTCCAAAAGGGCGTCGAGAGATGACTCTTGTCTGATTGACTGAAGTGTTGTACTTTAATCTATAATTCAACGACTACGTCATCAATTGTTGAACTTTTTTTTACGGAATATCATACCTTTATACAATTGTGCGGCGAGGAAGACGGAATTCAAGGAGGGATTTTGTACGTCTCGCTGTAGTGCGATCACATTTTAGGCTGGGGAGACAGGAAGAGAGACGCTTTCAAATCGTTCCCCTTTCAACTGTCCTCCCTATCCACCTGTCGCTACTCCTACAAGTACTGACATTGACACTAGAAAATCATACAATCTTGTGCATACCAGAGGTTAAGATGACAATCAGGATGGCATTTCAAGGCGAACAATGACAGATTGTGATAATAGCAATTATATTATAATTTTCCTCATCCATTTAGTTGAAAACCAAAATTTGATTTTATAACCTCATATAGTCAAAGTGTGTGGGCTGTTTATGCATACTTTGCCTATTTTGATCTCATCCGTTCTGACAGCTGACACTGCCGGGTTCTTGACATGTCAGGCGTACCTGTTGATGAGCGCCTCAGTTGGGCCTCGGGAACAAAATCTTGGCTATAATGTGTTTAAACAACAATTTTGTCCCTCTCCACGCATTATGCATGGGAGGAGGTTTAATTGTCACCTATTTCCTTTCAACTAAAAGTTTAAACCTAATAGCTTTGTGTTTAAATTGACTGAACACTGTCGCCCAGTCATACACATCGTCAGCCCACAACTCGCGCCATGAGGTTGTCTTGCGGTTGGGAGGTGGCTTCTAACGGCGGGTGCAAAACGCCCTTTTTTTTGTGCCCTGACAATTTTAACGTCTAGAAAAGGGAATGTTAATGAAGGATGAAATGTTTTGAGATTGTGTAACTCCGTCTTATTGCTTCTTGATTATTAGCGGAGACAACAACAGTAAAACCGGATACAAACAAACACATTGACTACTGCAACACCAGTGTCGATGCAATTATCGAGGTCCGTGGCTTAGAACTGTACATATTCAAAGGCGAGGTGAGTACAGAGGTTTGATTCACCTTTGTTTGTTTGTTTGTTTGTTTTTTTGTCTCTTAAAATCAACTAACTACGGAGTTGGAAATTTCAGTATCAATGGCGTGTCACCTGGTCCAAAACTGTGTCCAACTGGATCTCATATCAATTGCGTGATGGACCAACTAAGATTGCCTACTACTGGAACGTTCTACCTCCAGATGTGGACTTTATTGATGCGGCTGTCGAACGTCCGGACTCATTGATCTACATTTTTCGAGGTATTTACATTATTCTTGGTCTAGAGCACCTTACTGAAGGCGAGATGGCGCCTATTTCGGGGTAATTGTAAGAAAAGGAATGTCCTATGCACGTCGCTTAGGAGTTGCTGAAATTCAATCACCTTGTCATTGCCTCGAATCTTTGCGAAGCCCTACAATTCCCCTTCCTAACTGATCTAGCAGTTATGACTCAGGAGTATGTTTGGTTCTGTGCTCTCAATCCGTCAGGTGTCCAGTCACATCCAACGCCCACGCAGTTGTACGTACACAAGCACAATCTCGTTTGGAGGTGATGCATGTGTGAGTGAAAGATGAGCAAAGCGGCTTACGAATAATTAAATAGTAGCGTCACAAAGGTGATTTTCAAGACAAGTCAATCAGCTTGTCAATCGATCTTCGTGTACAGACAAGTGACACCGAATTTATTCATTCCTTACCTTCCATAACTGTCTCTTCACCTTCCTATCATCGTTCTTCAGCCTTTATTCATTCATTCTCAATTGTGTCATTTAGTGGTGAGTGATTATTGCGACTTAGTTGGTGTAAGGAGTGGACAACCCTCCTCAACGTTCATGTCCACATTTGGACGTGTCTCAGGGTTGTCACAAACAGGAATATGTTTAATCACTCTTTAAATTCAGTATTTTTGTCTTCAAGGAGCTTTAAACTACACGTGTCATTGGTAAACCAACCCTTTTATGTTATAAAAGTGACACTTGTAGTAAAAGCGACAATGGAGAACATTGCATAATCATCGATAGATTCTATAAACTGATTTCATCGAGCTTTGCCAAGCACTGGAAGACCTTTGTCAACCTCCTATGAACCCCTTTCCTCTCCCCACCCTCCCCACATGCCTATCAGTCATACGATAATGTGGTTCTTGCATTGCAATTAAATCTTCCTCATCACCTGCTTCATCTTCTTGATAATACGCATCCACATTATCCCCATCCTTTGGTGATTCCTCCTGATCTCCTCCAAGGTAATTGTCTCCTTTTACTACAACGAGATCTCTACTGTACCGAATTTGAAAATGCTTTTTACCCTAAGGCTTGACGTCTTTGACATCTGGATGTGAAAGTCATGCAGCATAGGCGAAGACACCGTTCAGCACAATCCGATCTTTCCAATTCTACTCTCATTACAACTCAATGCCTTACTCTGAAGACATAAGTGAGGCGTAGTATTACATGAAAACTTGGTTATTCGTATCCAGGAGGTCAAAGTGATGACACTAAAGTGATGTGAAAAAGTCGTGGTGATTAAATGGCTTTTCATATGGGTTCACTTTGGAATGTTGAAAGAGCTACAGTTATCCTAGGCCTCCAAGTGCATTGATGAACCCTGTTGGATCTGTGTAACTTGTTCCGTTATTCATGTGAAGAAGCGTGGAAACTTGACCTTTTCCATCTTAGGGCGTAGATGTGGATTTACAGCACCCAAGGAATGCACCAAAAATCACGACTTCTACTTTGTGCAGAGGCTCGAGGTGTGCTGCAAAATGTCAACTATGGTAGTCCATAATCTCCTTACCTATACACACCAAAATCCATAACACTAGCGATCGTTTTTTTTTTCTTTTTTTTTTGACAATTTGAGGCGATTTTGTTGACGGTGAGATGGATTTGTTGTGAGCTCAACCCTGTTTGTGTAATCCGTTTCAAGCCTCCTTAAAACCCCGCACAAATCATCCAACCAAATCAACCATTGGACTCTTATTTGTCATTTGCAACAATTTAGTGCAAATTTTCATATCGGCCTTACTTGACACACTCACACAGCCACACTCACAGTTGTATTTTTGTCTAGGTAATAAATTCTGGCTACTGGCAGACAACAAGAGGCTAGCCGGTGGCTGTCCACGCTCTGGATTGCCATTGACAAAGTTAGGCTTGCCAGAGGATTTACGAAAGGTGGATGCAGTCTTTAAGTGGGACGTGAACCAAGCCTTCTACATATTTGCTGGGGATGAGTACTGGCTATTGGATGTGAAAGCGTCTCCATCACCATTCGGAAGAGTAGCTCCCTCACCCGACTATCCACGACGCATCAAAGACACATGGCGTGGAATACCAACTCCTATCACCACCGCCTATACCACACTTAATGGTTAGTACGGAGACCTATTCTATGCTCTTTTAGCTTTATCATGTTAATTTGTTTTACTTTTTACATCATGTAGGTGAAACACTCTTCTTTGACGGACCTCAGTACTACGTATTCGACAATATAGCTATGCAAGCACGAAAGGGATATCCAAAACCAGCAAAATTAGGCATTATTGGTTGTCAGGACACCTAGGTTGATGATCACATCCATTTATAATCACACACATGTATACGCACACACACACACACACACAGAGAGAGAGAGAGAGAGAAAGAGAAAAAGAGATGCAAAATAGAACAGCCATACTAATATCGCCTACCTCTGCATGTACACGCATTTAGTTGTTTCCTGCTTATTTGCCTTACAAGGCACTCCTACGTATGTACCAGTACCTAGTCATGTTTCCCCTTTATATTGCATAATAAAAGGAATCCTAACGATACACATGCTGCACCTACTTAATTCGATGTGCACACCTGGAAGATGTCCGTTGCATTGTCGATACCCGATTTCATCGGACGAAAGTGGAGGACTTTTAGCAAACTCCTGTAACCTCGATGCTGATAAAACACGACATCGCGTGTAGGTGATGGAAAGTCAAACTGCGAGTTAATCTGGCTGAATGAGTGACTTGAATGGTGAGAAATGAAGAATTTTTTTCATACGGACTCGAGGTGTGTCATTCACAAGTTAAGGTTAAAATTTGGAAGTTTTGAGCCTATGCACTTGTCCGACCATATGACAGGCGGTGTAAAACAGATTAACGTGCTAGAAACTAAAATGCAGCCTACTTTTGTGGCCTACTTTGATGTAAACAGGTGAAATTCATCTCTCGTAGTACGCAACGTGCATTTTTATAGGGCAAGAAAGGTAAACTCAAACGATTCAAAGACGTCTGGAAAGGTAATTTTGTGGACAAAAAAGGCACAACATTGTATTTAAGTCATTACTAGTAGTGGATTGTTATTTTAAAGCCTTCTCGTTCATATCATCCCCCCACTCTTTGTTGATCAAATAATGAAAAGGG